AATGTCGCAGCCCTATTTTTATCTAGAGGAGGTACACTAATTTTGAACCATAGCCTATTGGCTAACCTATATTTGATTGCTATTAATAATTCACATTTTCACTATGAGACAGACACTTTACATGGATCTCTGACATTAAATAATTTATCAATACTATAATACATAACTATTTTTAATCATAAAATAATGATAAGGTGTATGTTAAATGTGCCATGGTTATGGAAAGTAGTCATGCCTATATGAAAATTTGGCTAGGACATAGTTGGACAAACTATTTATAATTTTTAAAAAAATGATATATTTATGCCATTGTCTTTATTTTACAGGTTTATCTCATACAGTTTTTATCATATACAGTACTGGTGTTGCAGAATTGTGTGATTAAAATTGATATACTGTTGTTTAGATCTATTTATTTAATTGTTTTGCAGGAATGGATATTCTGTGAATAGTCCAGCCGGATGATCCCCATTGACTTCCGTCAAGTTATGAAACTTGAGACACTTAGCATCTGATGGAGAAGCACAAATTCCTGTATACCAAACCCAGTGTCATTTCGATATTAATTGTACTGAAATATGCTTATGATAATGAACAATTAAATACAGTATGATCCTTCCTGTATTCTTTTGCATTGACGTTAAATTGATTGGTAATTAATATAGTAAATTGTTTGTTAATTAGTAAAAATATTTTTTATCCTTTATTAGTATAATAATACTGTATTTATTAACTGGCGTGAAGTTGGTTACTTTCCATGCAGCACACTACTGTTGTGAAGGTGCGTTTAAATATTACCTCCATGGTTGGACGAATTGTGATAGGGGCCTAGCAATCCTCGCGGTGCACAAGCTGAGCTGACCTGCACCTGAATCCTCCTTATCATTAGCTGGGCCGAGGGGAAGCATAATTAGCATATTTAATTTATGCGACGGTAATTAGCCAATCGGAAATCAAAGTTGTTAAATACGTCAGACACCACGAAATCGTGGTGCCTGCACACGAAATCCTCACTGTTTTCCCAGTCCCTAATCCCAGAAAAAGTATACTATGGAACGCCATGCAAATAAGTAATATGGAACGCCATTTGTGCCAAAATCGATTTATTCTTAAGCATTTCAACTGATTAAGAGAAAGATTAGGGACTGGAACCCAGTCTACGCGAATCCAAATTCAACAACATGATAAAAAGTGTTTCGATATAACCAGACATTGGTGGCGCTCTTCGAAAGGTTCTAACACTAGGAAAAAACTTATAACAAATTACAGACTTGTGGCAAGTCTATAATTACGTAACGTACTTTGACAACTTATTTATCCATGAATATTGTTTTATTTGTTTAAGAAAAATAAATCAAAAAACACACTGACACTTTTAAGCCAAGCACTCACTTCTCCCGACGGTGGTCGGCCGACGAGATTCAATACAGAACGTACTGCCACGGCGCGCGCGCAACGGATCGTATGACGATCCGTTCAGACTCGAAATAGACCATTAGCAGACAGCATCGTTTCGTCTAGAGTTCACAGGGAGCGGAGTTCGATTCGTCGTAGGACGATCGTACAGTATTCGTACCACCCAGAGCGAGTGGATTCATATCATGATTCATAATTTATATTTATCTCATATGAGATCCTGGCGCCACCATTGATCTCGTATGAGATTAATAGTGGCGCCATGATTTGCTTCACACGAGGTCCGATACCCCTAAAGGTTTGTGGGAGGGGGAAGGGGGCGATGTTCCCGAAGAGCAAAGTGGGCGTGGTCATGCGTCTCTCGAAAAACGAAAAAATGAAAATTTAGGAGTTTCGAAGTCTTATTCAATCAATTTTAGATTCTAAAAATATGTAGAAAATACATTTATATATATATATATATAAATGTTTATATCTCCCTGACGAATGGCGGTTTTTCGCCATAAGAGGGAGGGGACTTTTTTGAAAGGGAATTTTTTCATTCGTTTGCAAAGGTTCGATGATCATATTAATCATGATAATTGATATCTATCAGTCATAATGTTATGTCCGACATACGTCAAAACATCAGTGATTGTTTATATCTAAATAAATATGTCTGCTGATCATGATTGTTCTTTTGTCGATAGACAGGTACTTTATATGACCAGCAGATCCTCGTCGATGTGGCCAGGAATTAAGTATATGGTAAGTGGTGAAAAACAATTACCCTGTACTTAAAATCATAAAATTATAATATTATATTAATAAAAAATAAAATATAAATTATATAAAATACTGGTCTCCCTCCAATTAAAGACCACTTTTGGGACTGGGATGTCCATGGTCTTTAGCAGCTTTGAAATAATAAAGATAAAAGGAATTTGTGAATGTAGGACCACAGAAAACTTGTCTTAAATGGAGGTGGTCTTTAATTGGAGGGATCTTTAATATGAGGAAGAATATCTTTAATATGATGGAACATCCGCCCTCCTACGAATGGGGTAAAATTTGAACATATTACTAAGTGGAGAAACTACAGGAAACAAACGAACCAGAGCGGCGCCTTTATTATTGCTATATAGCGCCGCCGCGCGGACGGGGTAAAATTGCTTTCCGTGTACCCACAATGCCTTTCGAACGGATGTTCCACTATATTGGGAAGCTGCTCTATCTTCTGCTATTTATTATCTTTGTTGTTACTCCCCCATTTTATTGTTATGAAAATGTAAAAAATAATAATACGATTGTATGTGGGCCAGGGTCAAACTGTGTTTCCAGTGGAAGTCAGTAGAGGCACAGCAGGAAAAGGAGGTTGACCACCAATCTATTCAACCTTTTAATTTCCTTCCAGTTTTTAAATATTAAAATATCAGTATCTTGTTTACCTCTCCCGAGATTTTCGTAAAATATGCTGTTTGTGCCTTAGAAAAATCAATAGTACAACATAGGGCTATCATTTTTTCCCTCCGGGGCTTGGAAACAAAGCAATCTCCCACAAATTTAAAACGGGATTACCATTTTATTAATTGTTAATTGTTGTGTACAGGTGTGGCGCCATGAGGGGGTGGGGGTGGGGCGAGGTCCCCGACGGGGCGCCGATGCCACCGACGAGGGGTCATATTTCCCCGACGAAAGCAAAGTGGGGGTGGTCGAGCTTCGATACAAAGGTTTTGAAAGCGAAGCCCCAGAAAATTTTGACAATTTTAGGGATTTCAAAGGTTTATTTAATCGATTTTAGAGTCTACTAATATGTAGAAAATACATATAATTGTTTTTTTATCCCCGATGAATTGTGCTTTTCCTCCGACGGAGGGAGGGGCAGCTCTCCCGCTGGCGCCACCCTAGGTTGTGTCTCTGAAGTTAAATGGCCAGGAGTGTCCGAATCATACCTTCCGTACCCCTGCTGTTAACGCTATTTGCTGGCTTTAGTAAGTGCTGGAGACTGTGCCAAAGTTTCCGGAAGGTCAATGTCATATTGAAGTAGAATAGGCCTACTAGTGAATTAATGCAGATCACTGAATGTGGTTGTTATAAAAGCAGCAATGGTATGGTCAAACTAATATCAAAATAACAGTTTTTACTATTATAAATCAAGAGATTTAAGCCGGGCACTCACCGCGCCCGACGGTCGTCGGCTGACGCGATTCCATAGAGAACGCAACGCAACGATTGACGATCTGTTCAGACTGCCATCGACATTAGGAAGCTTTCGATGGCAAGATGACGGTAGGAGCTAGAACGTAATGAAGTCACTAAAAGTCATCTGTGCACTCCTAGTCGCGTGGATTCTGGAACGTAATTTGGTCAAATCTACGAACGCAGAGATCACCAAATTCAACGGTCACGCACGAGTGAATCCGTTCTAGAGTCGCGTCATCGAACAAATCGTAAGCTCCCTGTAGACGACATTGCGTCGTCTAGCGGAAATGGACGGTCGTACGGCCGTCGGGCGACGTAGTGAGTGCCCGGCTTAAGGCATCAAATGAGCTGCATTACGATGATGACAATAATATTTTTTGTTAATAGCCTATATCTAAGACCTGTCCAGACTATCAAATTTGTGTGACATGTGACATGCCTAAATATGGTCATGATGACATAGCACCAAGACCATATATAGGTACTTCATGATTCTATGGCCATACAACAGCGTTTTGTTAAATAAAATTTGATAGTCTTGACTTGGCTTGATATATTAATTTGCTACAGTCCTTCTCACAGGAGAATGCAAAGAAGAAGTTTGCAAGAACACCTAATCTCCATAGTTATAACAATACTATGGAATATATCATAAGGTAAGTGATATTTTTTTAAGTAATGGAGAAATACATCCATGAGAGTGCATAACGCACACAGGACCAACGGCTCCACCAGTGGCGTAACTACCGGCAGGTTCAGCAGGTTCATCGAACCTGGGCCCCCGAACTTTTGGGCCTTATAAAGTCTAATAAAGCAATGCATAAATACAAATCTGGATTTAGGCCTATAGTATTTATATTTATAAAATACTGCACATTGTGTTTTTAAAATTGTTAAAAGTAATCACTTGTACAATCTTAGGCTTTAGCTATGCCTAGCTGTAACAAGAGCGACCGCTCACTAGTCCTCACGTTAAATTTACATTACCTCTATTCATTTTTATTTTTTGACGTGAAGGATGTCTTCCAATAGGCGAATCTATTCGGCAAGGGTTCATAATTGCCACTAATTACTACCACCAACAGGACACGTCGCATAAGTGGCGTGGTCGGTTGACGATGTGTTGTAAGGAAACGAAGTCGTGAGTGCGAATCACGCTTCTGTGTTTATTTTTTTATTGTATTTATTTTTTTAATTATTATTATTAATAATTTTTTATTTTTTTTATACATGAAATGAACATTCTAAAATATTTGACAGCTGTTTCCCTACAAAAAAAATGGAAAAGCTAGTAAGATAAATAATTAGAAGTTTTGTACAAAATTAAAATGTTTTAAAATTAAGGAAAATAAAATGTCTTAAAATAAAAAAATAAAAAATAAATAAATGAAATTGAATACCAAGACGCGATTCGAACTCACGACATTTGGTTCCTTAACATATCGTTAACCCAAGGGGTTAACCGACCGCGGCATCCATGTGACGTGTCCTACTTGTGGTAATGGCAGTAATGCACATTACTTGCTGAAACCCCTGTTTTGTGTTTTTTTTTTTGTATCGTGCACCCTGGGGTCCAACTTAAAATAGGGTCATGACAGTTTGTTTGAAATCACCTCTAGTTTGTGTGTACACAATTTCCTGCACGTCCGTTCAAAACTGGCGACGCTGGACGCTTTTAAATTTCTGGTAACAACAAGAATAAGAACAAATCAGAGTGATGTTCAGAGGTGCGGCTGCGCGGACCTAAACATTACATTTTACTCGAACACGTCCTGAATGGAAATCTACAGTGAAACAGATCGTAATCTATTCATGAATGAATGGTTTCAAACATACTCGTGGTAATAGACAGAACGAGGTACTCAGTGAAGTCTACGATGAGTATGGAAAGACGTGCTTTATAAACTACGTTTTCCAACGATAATGGAGAAATATTCAATGAAAATTCATTTAGATATGTTGTGCTTTGTTAAATATCTGTGGTTAGTTCAAGTAAAACAGGCCTACATCCTTAACTTAGCACTCAAAACAAGACTTGTCTACAGCCTAACGGGAATTCCATTTCTTTGGTAATGGTAATATACAACAAGGTTTCCACTGACGAACCGTCAAGAGCAGCAAGGCATGCACTACCTATCTTATCTAGTAATATTCCAAAGTTTTAACTGTGTGTTAACCTTCCCCATTTTATTTAGCTAAGTATATAAAACTAATATAGAAAATAATTGCTGGCATTGTACAAGGAAGAGTCAATTTTGTAATGCTAAAAATCTTGAACATACATTACTTCTTTTTTTATAAGCATAAGTTACTTCGTACGGAAGCACCTAAGTGCCATTCGACTTGACGACTTGTTAAGATAATTATGTTGTCAAGTCGACATAATATACATATCATGTAGACATGGCGAGATAGATTATCTTGACAAGTCTTCATAGTAAAAATTGTATGTTGTCATGGCGAGATAGATTATATTGACAAGTCGACATAATACATATTGTATGTTGTCATGGCGAGATAGATTATCTTGACAAGTCGACATAATATAAGTTGTATGTTGTCATGGCAAGATAGGTTATCTTGACAAGTCGACATAATAAAAATTGTATGTTGTCATGGCGA